TGAGCCGTGACAGAGCCTCCAAACCCCCCCCGCTGGCCGTGACCCGCCCCCCCCCGCCGTGGGGTTCTGCGAAGCAAAAGTAGGGGTTCTGCGAGGAGCCGGCACTCCCCCTCCACCTCTGAAAGAGAGGGGAGGACTGATCTGTCCTTCACGCGTCATCACCGACCCCGGCATTTTACGGGACGCGCAAGGGGCGGATGCCTGTCTGTGCTGCCTGTTCTTGCATGGCGGCACAGTGGGGCCATTCCGCCGTTGGGGGAACGCTGAGCCAGGAGATGTCAGCTGCCCACCGGGCCGTGCATCCGGGGCAGGAGGGGGCAGGTCGGGTGACGTCAAGATGGAGTGTACATCAGGGGAGGGGTTAGCAGGGTAGAACTAGAGTGGGGAATTCAAAAGGGCTGTGGCCGTAAGAGACAGGACGGAGGAGGCAGTGAGGAACATTAGAGGGAGACAGGGGAAGGGGAGCAGAATCGAAGCAGGGGAGGAAGTGCCAGCTTTGTCCCAAAACCTGTAGTTAAGGCACGTGGATGGTGAGCGTCGGAGCTAGGGGAGCACAAGGGGCCAAAGTCCGAGGTCCCTGGGGGTAGGAAGAAGCCCAGGACGGGGCTTGCCTACAGACGGCCTGTGGGCTGGTGCATTGCAGCAGGAGCCCCACCAGCCAGAAAGGTCCTTACCTGCACCTGCCTTTAGGGCCCTGGGCTGGGACCCGTGAGCGATGGTGGGTCCGGGTCCTCCTACCCCCCACCCGCCAGCAGCAGGGCAGAACTGTTGGAGATGCTTGTGGTATCGGACTACAAAATGGACTGCTATGGAGGCAGAAACAATTGTAAACTGGTTAACAAAAGGACGGCCGGGCAGCTATTAAAGCCAGAGTAAACTGACAGAAAAGGGGGAGCGAGGGCTGAACTAGTACCACAGAGAGATTGCCAAAGGACTGTGGACTAGAACCTTGTTAGGGCACCAGCTAATTCCATCAACTCTAACTCCTTTGCAACGTCACCTTCTCTTGCACCTAATTGCCCTTTAGACCCTGGCTACCAGCCCTCAACCACTCTGCTCTAACACCTTTTATTTATTTGTAGTGAGTATGAATCACAAATTTGGTGCAGATTTGGAACCTGTTTCATTTTGGGTTGTGAATGTTGGCAGGCGTGCAATTCTATTAAAACTTGTCAAGTAGAAAAATGCTCATTTTGACCTACTTTTTCAGTGTAACATAATATTACTAACTAGAATACATGTATTGTGCTGTCCATTGATGTTAGAGTTTTGAAGGTGTTTTCAGTAGATGTACTACAGTTCATCTTTTGTTCCATGTTGACCTTCGGCCCTTGGCACAGATTTTACATGTAATTGAGCAAAATGTTTAGCTGGATATTCACCTCTTTGACCTCACTCCCGCTGCTGCTAGGCGGCACAAGTAATCCCGTGGCCCAGCAGCAGAGCTCTCATTAGCAGCTGGACAAGTTGCCCTCCACTCCACATCCTGCTTTCTTTTCACATTGAGTTTGTGTTTAGAACTCTCGGCACATGTACTGTACTTCATCAAGTCCAAAACAGCACATTCCAGTTTTTGCATATGCTCCGTTTAATAACTGAGATGTTTTGTTTTGTCTTAACATTTTAAAGGAAAAGAGCCTTGTGCGACACCCAAGGTCATAGACAGTAAAATGGAGGAGAATTCAGAAGTACCTATTTTAGAAGACACATCATCTTCACCAGTAGATATTCTACAGCATTCATGGCAGGTTTCCACCGATATTGAAAACACTGAAAGGTATGTGTAGCTTTTGTTCTTAAATACGGGAATTTAGTTTCAATGCTTTGTTCAGCCTTTCCCCTATAGACAATCAACACTGCTACTTGTATCAGTACATTTCTTCAGAACTTAATGTACACAACATTAACTTCTAAATCAGCGGGGTACAGTGATGTTAAATATTTGATTTAGCTGAGTACCATTGGATGCCACAGTGAGAGTACAAAGGAGAAGAAAGCACAAAGATAAATGGACTTACTTGTAGAGCAGAGATAATAAAGCTGATTTTCACTCTTAACCAGGCCTCTGCTTATGTATCCCAAATTACCTGGTCTCCATTTTGGCACTTGTAAGTCAGGCAGTTAGACATCTAATGTGCCTGCCAATAATTATGAATGTGTGGAAATAAATAAATGTATACCAAATTAGCTCCTTTCATCCTCTGGCTTTCTATGTGCAAATTGAAGCTTCTATGGCCTTTTTTTTTTTTTTTTAAGTAAGAGAACCCAGATGGGTTCTGATCTTACTCAAACTGATCTCTATCTAAGGTTTTGTGTGTGTTACCACTAAGAGCATGAGGGCTAATTTACTTGGATAACCAAATAACCAAATTCTGTCCTATCAAAAGAGGAGCTGAATAAGAGTATGTCTAGACTACATAGGTCCGTTGACGGAGCCATGTAGATGAGTTTACTAGAAATAGCAAAATGAAGCGGCGATTTAAATAATCGCCACTTCATTTACATCAAAATGGCCACCACACTGTGCCGACGATCAGCTGATCGGCACAGTGGGGCAGTCTAGACGCTCCGTGGTCGACAAAGGAAGACTTTGTCAACCGCTCCGGTATGTCTCGTGAAACGAGGTTTATACAGCAGTCAACAAGGCTTCCCTTGTCGACCGTGGAGCGTCTAGACTGCCCCACTGTGCCGATCAGCTGATCGTCGGCACAGTGTGGTGGCCATTTTGATGTAAATGAAGCAGCGATTATTTAAATCGCCGCTTCATTTTGCTATGTCTAGTAAACTCATCTACATGGCTCCGTCGACAGACCCATGTAGTCTAGACATACCCTAAAACTGAAAGGAAAGGCAGTCATTGCTCTGTTTAGGGACCATATTGTAGCATCAAGGGTATCCAAATGAATAAGGCAAGAGCACACTGTCTTTCAAAGCAAAAACACTTTAATGCATTCTGAGCCTCCACACGGAAGTGCAGGACTAGAACAACACTGCCTTTGTGCTTGGTACTGTCCAAGATACAAAATGCAGTCACTATCCCAAAGAACTTACAGTCTAAGGCCAGGTCTACAATAGACTAGGCAGGTCAGCTTAAGGCATGCCATTCAGCTACACAAAATGCATAGCTGGATTTGGCTTACTGCCACGGCTTGGTTTAAGGTGTCTACACTGCGGGAGGCCGACTGGAGCACATGCTCCTGTTGGTTTCCCTTACTCCTCACATACAAGTACACAACATTGGCGGGGTCTGCTTTCAGTGTTCAATTTGGGGGTCTACACTAGACCCACTAAATCAAATACTAGATGATTAACCTCTGGAGGTTTGATCTTGTTTGTAGTATACACAAGACTGAAGTATTTGCTCTCTAGAGACATAAGGGTAATGCAGCCAACACAGGTTCTGGTACCAGTTGTGCTGTGTCTGGTGCATCTCTCCACTAGGAACTGGATTGAGCCCACCAACTTATTTTATAAAGACCATTCAACATCCAGGAAGTAGTAATTATTTCATCATTCTGGACCAAATTTGAAGCAGAAAGCTACCAATTACAGTCACATCAACCCCTACAGTTCATTATTTTTGTTATAAGAGAAATATGTCTTTAGATTTAAAGAATTGGATTGGCTTTTATATTGGAACCAACTACTTGTCCATTGGATAAATCCAGAAGCGCTCATTATTCCCATTTTGAGTTTATTTCAGTGTATTGTACTATTCCTACATGCTCTCAAATGCAGAAAATAGTTTCTGTTTTACTTTTAATTTCCACAGAGACATGAGAGAAATGAAAAACCTTTTAAGCAAACTCAGGGAGACTATGCCTTTACCATTGAAAAATCAAGGTGAGTTTTGCTTTTTCCCTATGTAATGTAAATTAAGATATTTAAGTGTTATTATCAGAAAAATCTACATTGTTTTCTAAATATTATAAAAATATTCTGAATGAGTTCTGATCCACTGACATCAATGACAGAGCTCCCACTGACATCAATAGGCCTAGGACTTCACTGTGTCTTTACCGATCTGGGATCTACACATTAGGAAAAATGTGAACAAACTGGAGGGAGTCCAGAGGAGAACAATAAAACATGGGGTGAAAAAGTTAAAAAAAAAAAAAAACCTTTAAGGAAAGGTTAAAAAAACTGGGCAGGATTAGTTTTGAGAAAAAGACTGAGGGGGGGACCTGATCACGGTCTCAGATATGTTAAGGGCTGCTATAAAGAGGACTGATTATTTGTCTAGGGATGTTAGCTGTCAGGTAATAGAGTAGTTGACTAACCGCATGAATTCTTAGCAGTTAGTCAACTGTTCTATAGTCCCTGGAGACAGGGCTGGCAGCCAGTGCAATCAGACCCCACTCCCGGGGAGCCCCCTGCCACCCTGCGCTGCTGCCTCTGATACCAGCAGCGCAGCAGCAGCACGGCAGGGGGAAGAGGTGGCACCGCAGAGACAGTGCTGGGGGAACCAGCTTTTAAGCCAGCAGCCCTGGCTCCGCCTCCCCCCGCCCCCCCCCCCCCCCCCCACCTCAGTGTCTAAGGATTTATCTTACCACCACAAAATTTCCATCCAGCAAGCTGGGAAAACTAAACACCGTTGGGCACCTCTCAAAGGCATTCCTTCCCTAGTTGCAAGCACCGAATAAACTTTTCATTACATAGGAAAACGGGACCCAGTCTTAATTTGGGAAAATACCACAAACACAGTTCAGAAGCATGTGACCATAGGCAAACATCCACCCGACAGTGTGCTGGGCAGTGTCCTTTACCTCAGTTTCTCCCTTTGCTGTGTGAAAGTCCAACAAACAAACGTCTCTTAGAACGCCACTCCCCTCACCCTGCTCACAAATGGCTGTTCGTGGTTAGCAGAGATCCAGAGCTCAGGTATGTTCAGGTGGTTCACCTACTACCTCTGAGGGAAAAGGAACATCAAGCAGTGTCTCTGATGCAGCTCTGCAACTGGCTCAGAGTTGTTGCGCTCTTTCTGCCACCACCACTGGCCACTGCTGCTGCTCCCACACATCATGTTCTGAGATTCTGCCACTTAAAACAGCTCTACTGATTTCAGCAGGTAGTGGAGAACCTCACAGCCAGTGCAGTCTCTGTGTTGCCTTTCCCTGTCCCCACATAATGTGTAAGTCTTCACCCCTAGACCTGTTCAGCAGTAATATCAGCTCTAGGAATTACCAGCCAGAAACAAAGACTCTCAGCTCTGAGACCAACCAGCTCTGTCATTAAATACAAGAGACTCAGCAGCATCCACACTGCCACATAGAAACACCTATTTCCCACCCGCTCATCTTGATGGGGACGTGACATCCTTACCCACTGCTTAGCAAGTGAGGTTCAGCTCAGGATGACCCTCTCACATGAGGGAGAGGGGAGTTCCATGGTGTGACGAAGTGGGGATTGTGTTCACTTGTCATGTTGCATATGATTCCTACTGTCCTGTATTGCTCTGTTGTAACTCTGTGTGTGTGTGCCTCAGTTTCCCTGAGCACTGCACCGGTGCCTGGCTGGGGATGAGAATTTTGGGTGTAACGTTCACTGAGAGGGAGGCTGCCCAGCCCAGCATGTACACAGTGGCCCATGCTCTCTTGTAACCTGAGCCTAAGTGGAGAGGGATGCGTGCAACCAGAGTGGAAATCCATCAACTACACAAAGAAACCTTTTGGCCTGGAAACTGGACAAAGGAGGAGGTGGGGTTGCCTGCAGGGCTCTGGCTCTGGGCTCCCCTCCCCCAAGATGGATTGTACTGTCTGCTCCTGGCTCCTGTGCTGATAAGTCTGTTCTATGCTGTGTCCCTGTGAACAAATAAACTACCTGCCAGCTGAAAGTCACATTTGGCTGCAAATGGGTGTGGGGGGTAGGGGCCGGTGGCTCCCCACTCCTCCATAACACATGGTAAGCACAGTTTTGCTGCCCTTTACTCATATATACAGTAAGGAGAACACACTTCCTTACTCATGCATTCAAATCCTGGAGTGATTTGTATCCCCAAACCAGCCAAAATTGATCACTTTGACAGAGCAGGCATATCTATGCAAATATGGTCTGCTCCTGAAGTTTTCCCCCTCCTTATCACAGAGGAGCTTACACTCCACAGAGATGGCCTAAAGATCTCTGATAAATGCACCAATCAATCAATTAATGTCTTTATTCAAGCCCAGGGTAACAGTGTCAAATTTGTAGATGAATTCCAATTCTGCAGACTCTCTCTGTAATTGGATAGTGCCCAGTAGAAACACAGGGCATTTTAAACTTAGGCACTGAGTGACATTAGGTGCCTCTATGTTTAAGCAGCACCAGCCTGGTGGGAGTTTTGAAAATCTCGGTGACTTCTAAATTTTGGACTTAGGCAACTGAAATGGACACAAGTCTTGTGTGGATCAGGACTTTACTCTGTATCAGTCTGGTCAAGGTCTGTCCTGAGGGTTTCTTAAATCCCTTTTCATAGTTAGCAAGCATTTTATTATTCATGTTTTCCTGGAGCTGTGGAACAATGTTATTTTTACAAACAGATACTATAAAAATCCCAGGGTGGACAGGGAAGTAGGTCTCTTATCTTATCACAGAAGAGATTGGACTATCAAAGAATGTTCCCTAAAGTTAAGATCTTGACTTTGAATAGCTTTTATTTAGATTTCTAAATACGGATTTAGGAGCCTAACTTTATGCAACGAAATCTGATCCCTGTCTCCACAGATGAAAGAATAAGTCTTCTCAAGGACAGTGATTGAACCATTGTGCCACCTGGGTCTTCTGTCTCTCTTCCTCTACCTTTTTTCATAACTGATGTTCTAAAACACTGTATATGTTATTATGGAGCGATAGCCATAGCTCTATAATTAGTGCTTTAAGACTCAGAATATATAAAACAAAATACATTATTGGAATACAGCTGATGTAGGACAGTTACAACTAAGCGGTATTAGATATGCTTTTTACAAACAGGACTGTACTTAGAAGCATTTAGATTGTAAGCTGTTTGGGGAAAAGACCATCTAATGTACCCTGAGTTTGTATAGTGCCTAGCACAATGTGGCCCTGGTCCTCTACTGAGGCTCCCAGGTGCTACTAGTATACAAATAAGCAAGTGTTTTCTTTTTGATATGCCTAATTGTGTTAAACTTTGTACTTCTTTCATTATAGATGATAGCAGCCTCCTTAACCTGACTCCTTATCCATTAGTGAGAAGGCGAAAGCGAAGGTTCTTTGGACTGTGCTGCCTTGTCTCAAGCTAAAAGATTCAGCACAGAAACACCAAGAAAACCATAACTATCATGAAACCAACATTATTTGAAAGGATAAGGTTTGGCCTTTGAAAGGATAAACCTTACTGCTTGTGATTATAAAATGTTTTCTACACTGCCCTATTCCTCCTCTCCCTGCCCCTTCTCAAAAAGTTTTACAGTTCAAAGTTGTTAGTCTCAAGAACCAGAAAGGGAACAGATTTTAACATGATTATGATTTTTTTTAAAGATTTTTGTAATGACATTCCGCATGTCAATTTTAAGTCATTCGGTGGCTAGATGCAAGAATTATGGTTATTAGCTCATCCTAAAGGTTTTATTATACAAACCACAACAGAAATTGTGTATAGTACAGTACTATGACTATAGCTCTTACTAGTATCACATTAATAGAATATGATCAAATATTGTAAACAGTCTTTAAACATAGAAAACTATTTCAAACATCAAAACGTATTAAACTTCTAATATTAAAAATGAACTCCTGTAACAAAACATGCACAAACTCTCCTATTGCTTTTTGTGCTCTCATTTATATTTAGTCTTCCACTGTATCTCAATTTAGTAAAGAATTTCACAATAAAATCTCTTAATTTATCATACTCAAAATCATATAAAATATTCATATTTGTAAATACAAAGTAATCATAATATCTACATACTGTACAGAACATAGAAGGTAAGACTTTAAGCCAATGGTGTCTATATCAACTTTTGGAAGAAAGGGGCAATGGAGTTAAAAGATGGTGTAGTACAATATACAATTACCCTCCAATAAAAAGCAGAAAATACTTTGTTTCCATTAAAAACTGAAGCATGGTGTCTGCACATCAACTTAGTGTTAACTCTTATAGGGCATGCCAGAATTAGCTCAGACTGTAAAATATTTGGCATTTTACATTGTTAATAAAATTTTTTAATTAAACTAAAAACTGTCTGCTTTCTAATTATATCACTAGGAAATCAATTGTCTATAATGTATCAGTAGTAATATTTGCTCCATTTTCAATACTCCTGTTCTCAGAAGAAAATGACAAATTACAAGTCTGCCCACATACAGTGTTTAGACTGACAACTAACGGCAATGGTATGTATGGCAAGACATAGATGTCTGGGAACTATTGTCTCCAACTCTGAGGGAATACAGACAAGGTACCAAGAATGTGCTGGAACATATCTAGGAACATATCCAGCAGTAGCTATTCCAGGGCAGGTCATCCTTCCCTTGTAATCTGTAACACCTGGCCAGGGCTTGTATCAACCCCACTCCATATCTCCCAACTGTCCCAAATTTGTGGAACTGCAGCTGCCCTACTTTGACACCCCAAAATGCCTTGTCCCACTAGAAGTGGGTCCTTTGGGGCTGGCTGGGCTTAGCTCCCTCCTTGAGTCATTGTGAGCTGGCTCCTGGTACATCGGGTCACAGTGCCCCTCATGTTTTGGCCCTCCCTTTTCCCACCTCCTTCTCCACTAGGGAAAGGGCCTGACTCCTTGCTTGGTCCCATCCAGCTTTTGCCACTGAAACGTTGGGAAATATACCACTCCTCCACAGCATGAAACAGGTTTCATCACTATTGCTGGGACCACCATCAACCTCATGGGAGATGGTGGGAAAAGGGTGTTATCCTGTGAACATTAGGAGCCCAAATCACCTTTCTTACTTTCTCTGGGAGTTGCCTCATCCTAATCTGCTTCCAACTGTGCTTTATCAGGACTCAGCCCCTAGTCAAATGAATGTCTTCAGTGGGCACCTGCTAGTACAACAAAGACATTTTCCTGCCAAATCTACCCACTTGGAGCCTGAGCTGCTAAGAGGAATTAATACAAAAAATCACACTGACTGTGTCAGTTTGGCAGTGCAGGAAAGATTCCTTGCCAGGTATAAAAGCGTGACTAGCATCATGCCCACTGCAACGCCTAAAAATCTCAAGGGAGTGGTAGAGCTTTTCTTTCCAGTGCAGAAAGGTGTCTCCAGACGGGAAGATCTCATTTTGAGTATGCAAGTTTATACTGCGCCCTTTAGTCCAAAGGATCGGCTGCAGGACCTCACTCTGACCCACAAGGAGGCTGAGTGCCTGCAAAGAGAGGAGAGAGGGAGCAGTCCTTTAAAGGGGCCAAAGGTTTTCCTTCCCCTGCTGGCCCAGACAGTTTCCCCACCTCTGAGACTGGGAAGGGAGGGTTGAAGGTGTTCTTTGTGACACTCATTCACAAAATGGCATGGTTGTAAGCAGGGGCAGATGACTGTTTTGCAGGGCCCCGGGCAGCATAACTCCACGGGGCCCCCCCTTTGCCACGGCGCATGCGCAGGGCTTTTTTAAGCTCGGGGCCTGGGACGGCCGCCCCGTTCGCCCTGCCCTATATCCGCCCCTGGTTGTAAGTTGTGTTCTGATCTGATTTTCAACCCAGATAACCATTGCCCAATAAACACATTTTGGAGACTGTAGGAGCTAGGAGCTTGAGCCCACGCCTATAAGGCTATCGTAATTAGTACATTGAGTACATTAGTAAGGGATGACACCTTAGGTGATATCTTAGAAAAGAGACAACTAAAGGGGGAATAAGAAGTCTGTAAAATCATTAATGGTGTGGAGACGGTGCTGAAGGATCTCATGATGAAATTAATAGGCAGCAGGTTTAAAACAAACATAAGAAAATACTTTGTACATAACTCAAAGTCAACCTATGGAACAGATTTCCTGGGGTTGGTGTAAAAGCCAAAAGTATAACTGGGTTCAAAAATGAATTAGATAAGTTCATGGAAGATAGGTCCATCAGTGGCTACTAATCAAGATGGTCAGGAATGTAACCCCAAACTCTGGGTATCCCTAAACCTCTGACTATCTGGAACTGTGACTGGAGAATGGGAAACAGACTACTCAAAAAGTTGCCCTGTTCTGTTCAGTCCCTCTGAAATACCTGGCAGTCGCCACAGTTGGAAGATAGGATATGGAGCTAGATAGCTGTCCTTATGTTCAATCTGACATCACAAAAATTACATTAATACTACAAAACCCATTAAACAATTAAATATATTAAATTAAGATGTCTACTTTTAGCTTTTTTATAAATGTCCCTTCTCTAACATTCTATAACAAGGAGGAGAGGCAAATCCTTAAATAAAAACATCAAATATTTCTGCTTCCCTCCAGCTGAGTAGACAGGTGTATGGGTTAACAATGAAGAGTTTGCTAGAGGCTGACCCCCAGCAGCACACATGGCAAGTACTGGCCAAAGGAGGTTATCTATATCTCCCTGAAGACACTTTATGTCCACCTGCCAGCATAATATTTATGCTATTGAGGAAGTTTTGAGGAAACTAAGGCAAGCAAGACTGATTTCCCCTAATGCCGAAAAAGTTGATGTCAAATTCCTGAGTTCAATAGGAGTCAGAAGATCCTGACCCTATGCACTAGATCCCACCCCATTCTGTTTTAGGGAATAGAAGCACATACTAATTAAAAGAAATATGAAAAAAGTAACCAATAAATGTTTGCAAATCTCAGAACTCTCTGCAGTAAGTTTGTCTGTGTTTTGAACAAAAGTTTACACTGAAGACATTAAAAAGATGATTTTATCTGAACTAAGTTACCAGTCCTACCAGAATTTTACCCAGTTCTCCTTTTTAACTGTTTTGGATTCAGTAACATTTTTTAACTTTTATTATTGTGGCGTTTTGTTGCTGTTTCACTATGTTTATGAGCAGAACAGTGATGTTCTTCTTGCACCTATAATGTTCATTGTTACAAATTAGCTTACCACCACTTTTGTGAAAGTTCAAGTCTTAATGACTGTATAAAAAATGGTTTCTGACTATTGACAAAGTAGATTTTATCAGCTTTGCTGGTGCTGTGGATCCAGTATATCTACAGGTATGTCTACAACACTACAAGGGTATTTCTAAATAACTTATTTTGGAATAATAACTCCTGAAATAACTATTTCAAAATAGCACATCCACACTACAGGGAAGCTTCGAAATTAGTCCAAGGCAGGCTCCCCTAATATGTACATGCTACCTCAATTTAGAACCCCAGGAGGCACTGGGGAGTAATTACTTGGAATGGCCCTCGGGAGGAGCTATTTCAAAATAGTGGCCAGTGGACTTCCCACACTACTGCTATTCCAAAATAGCAATTTCAAAGTAGGCATATTCCTCATGAAATGAGGGCTTATTATTACAGAATAATAAACCTGTTATTGCAAAATAATTTCAAAATAACGGGCTTGCTGTGTAGACATTCACCTTGTTATTTAGAAATAACGTGGGTTATTTCAAAATAATACTCTAGTGTAGACATGCCCTTAGGGTATGTTTACACAGCAAAGTTATTTTGAAATAACAGCCTTTATTTTGAAATAACTTTCCTAGTGTCTACACAGCCAAACCACTATTTCGAAATAAAATCAAAATAGTGGAGTGCTTATTTTGAATTTGGTAAACCTCATTCCAAATTTGAAATAGCTATTTTGAAATAAGTGCTGTGTAGACACTTACATCGAAATAGGGGGCCTCCAGCCTTCCCATGGTGCTCTGGTGGCCACTCCAGCCTCAACCAAGAACACTTCTCTCCCTGCCTCCCACTCCCAACCCTTAAATGGATAGACTCTGGCCACAGTGCCCGTTCCAGCTCCAAGCCTGCCAGCCCAGAGCCAGCAGTCACTGCTTCTGACTCAGTGGTCCCAAAACATGAGCCAGCAAGCCACTGGCAGCCAGCCCTCCACCACTCCCCAGGAGCAATCTGCCAGCTCCCAGGAGCCTGCCAGGGCCCGGAGAAGGCGAGTGCCTTCCTGGTCCAGGGTAGAGACCATGGACCTTATTCAGGTTGGGGGGGGGGGTCAAGGTCGGAAGTCTTTGGCCAATTTCTACCAGTTCAGTCCCTTCACCAGGCCTATGCTGCGCTGGAGACACTGGCTTGCAGGGTGGGGGGGAGGTCCGGGCTCGCCCACACTCCCAGACCCCAGCCCAGGGCTCTAAGGACAGGTTCGCGGGGACCTGTCCAACCGGTGGGGCAGATGCCCGAAACTCATCGGTTCACCAGCTCCACGCCCTGCCCTGGGCTACTTCCCACCCCACTTTCACCTTCCTACACCACACCCTGGTCTCCCTGTGAACCTTGCACCTGACTCCGTCTTCTCCCACCATGCTCCCTCCTGCCCCCCCACGGCCACCCTGGCTGACTTTTGCCCCTCTCTCCGTCCCTCTCCTCCTCCTCTCTCCTCCTCCTCTCTTCTCCCCGGCTCCGTTGCCGCTCCCCCCTTTTCCCACGACCCTGCCCTGGCTTTAAACATCCCATGCCGGCGTCCGGAGCGCATGACATCAGCCCCAGTGCACACCACGCGCTTTGTCACCTCCACCCGCCACCCGCACGCCGGCCGATGCCCCCTGCGCTTTAAACATCCCATGCCGGCGTCCGGAGCGCATGACATCAGCCCCAGTGCACACCACGCGCTTTGTCACCTCCACCCGCCACCCGCACGCCGGCTGATGCCCCATGCCCTCCCCGCCCCCGCCGCTCAGCTGAGCAGTGGTTGTGGCGCAAGGACTGCACGCCGATCGGGCGCCCTGGGCCGCCCCCATTAGCGAGAGGGCGACCGCAGGTTGAGTGTGGGGCAGGTCTGCCCCTGCAGGGCAGAAGCGGCTCGCCCCGTCACAGGGGGGATGATCCAAACGTCCATGATCTCCACACTAGATGGAGGTACGCGGTAGTCTGTGGCAGGATTGCTGCCAGCCTGGCCACCAACAGCCATATGCTAACCCAGGAGCAGGTTTGCATGACAATCAAGTTGGTCTGGCTAGAGTTGAGTGTGGGGCAGGTCTGCCCCTGCAGGGCAGAAGCGGCTCGCCCCGTCACAGGGGGGATGATCCAAACGTCCATGATCTCCACACTAGATGGAGGTACGCGGTAGTCTGTGGCAGGATTGCTGCC